AGCTAACGATCTTGAGTCTGTGAGCAAAGCAATAGTTTGATCCCTAGTTATATTAAAAGCCAAAAAATGTGTGTGTGGTCTCCTTAACGTACATCACATAGAATTACAGAGCGTTAGTGATTTTCTACCAGGCTAAAAGGAAGAGTTAAATTTTTCTAACATAAGCGTGTTACGATCACACTTGATTTAATACATTAGGCTTCAGGTCTGCTTTGCTTCTCAAGCACTTGATATAGAGCAAACTTTTAGGGGGGTTTAAAATCACCTTAAGAAGGTCCTCTCTTTGAATATTTTCCCCAGCAATTCTGCAGGACTTTCTTTTGACATCCTCCAAAGGGTTTTTGTCTTGGCTTTCATTTCAGAGGGAATCGCACTACCCGTTTCCTTAAGTTGGTCACAGTTTCACTATATAGTTATCGCCTGGTGTTTTGTTTTGTTTCTCTTCCAGAGTGAAAGAATTGAAAAAGGCCAAGGAACTTGAAGACATACAGCAGCATCCCGTAGCAATGTGACATTGCTTTCCGGACTGTTTTCATTTCTGTTTTTAGCAGAGACATGCAACAACAACACACACGCACACACGCACACACATACACACACACAAAATCCCTCTGCAGTTTTGGGGCGATCAGCTGCAGGATTTTAACAGGAATGTTTTGGTCATTGCATTTGCACTTTCATGGACAACTTTTAATTTGATCAGCAAGACATCTTGGAACTCAATCTTCTGTTGGATCATGGGAAAACAAGACACCAGGAGGGATTGAAAGGGGCTTCTTCTTAGGAGGAAGTCATTTCCTTCTCACATAGGGCTGTATTCAAACATCGTGTGGAACTGTACAAATATTTATACCAAAAATATAGATAAGAAAAGGTGGGGATATACTAGCAACAGAAAGGAATGCTGTGCCTGCACCTGTCGGTTATTTCCAAGAAGCTGAATCTTTGGGTTTGATTCTCAGTGGAGGGCTTAGACCATACAAATCTTCATCGGGTCCGTGTGTTCTCACTTCCTTCACTGTTTATTTCTGTTTGTTTGTTTGTTTGTTTGTTTTAATCTCTACAGCACACTTAATGCAACTTTTAAGATCTGCAGGTTTTTAATGTCTTGTGGAAATTTGCAGAGGGGCAGGTGCGTGGTAAATGGGTAATGCATGGGAAATAATGAGAAACAGCTTACAGAGTTTAAATTTATTTTCCTGTCCCCACCACCTCCCAAGAATCTGCAAGGACAGTGATCGTATTGTCCCCTTTTTCATGTTCAGCACTTTAATTTTTTTGCCTTACTTTCATGTGCAATGAGGATTTACTTCAGAATTGGAAAAGCATGTAGCCTTTTTTAGTAACCTTGGAAGCTGTAGTCATTCTAAGGAATCATAAACCTTGCCTGGACATTTGCCACCTAAACGATCAGTGTGGTGCTGCGTTCTGGCCAGTAAAGTCCATGTTTTGGCTATATCTCATCCAAACTGAGCAGTTTCTGTGTATATATAGGAGGTAGAAATGAAAAGTGAGGAAATATTTGAAAGGGATTATATTAATTGCTAAATATTTTATTCATAAAGGTCAATAACATGGCAAGATAAAATTATTTGTATAGTTTTGTCTGAATGAGCGAGAAAAAAAACGGATGTACTGTTTGTATATATTGTATATATTAAAACAAAGAGATATGTGCATGAAATCAAGAAAAAGAAATGAACAAAAGCAAAGCATTAGTGGCTATGGTCTGTAAAATGAAACAAAAAAAAACTTTATTTCACTATAAGAGTACTTTATTTTAAATGTTCTTTAGAAGAACATTTTGCTAAAGCATGACTAAACTGCAAAAAAAAAAAAGAGCTACTGTATTTAGACTTAGGAACAAAGGCAGAGTAACATTACTTAAAAAAAAAAAAAAAAGGATATGTTTACATTTAATTTTGGCTACCAGGAGTTTATTTTATTTTATTTAAAATTTTTTTGCCAATGGTGCCGAGTAATGTGAATGCTAATATTGCTTCAGAAAATTAAGTTACTTTTGCAAAACAGATAATCATAAGACGATTCGGTCCGTAGCGTAACACCGTCCACTCACTCCAACAAAGAACACTTAGAATGATCAATTCTGACAAAAGAAATAGTATGAAAAGTCGGAAAAAATGTCACGCTTTCGTATCTCCTGCTGGAAATCAGAAAATGTAATAAAAATTGCACAAAAACAAACAAAAAAAAATAACTAAAGGTGAAAATGAGTCAGACTGGTCCTGCAGGGATGTCATGGTGTATTCCTATTTCCACATAATGAGAGCCAAAGAAATCTGATGCTTTTAACAATTAAACTACTAATGTTAAATTGAGAGAATCAAGTTTGCATTTGCTGATGCCAGTTTAAACTTCCCAGGTTAAGTTAGAGGATCAGTTGGGGTAAAGCTGAGATTTTTTTTTTTTTTTTCCCTTGGTTCTGGCTGCCAACTGTGAGTTAAAACTCAAGGCTTGTTGTGAAGCCTAAAAATATTCACAAATAAGCTTTTAAACTGGTGTCTTTGGAAGGAGGTAGACACAAAAAGATATTGTGGTACAAACTGGGGTCAGTGCTCTTGGTGCCTTTTCTATAATTGTACTTGTTTTTTAATTACTTCCTTTCACTGCCAACCTCGAATTACTGTACAGTACATGTCGTTCTGCTTGTGATCAGCTTTGACGACAGAGACAGCCCCACAACCAGTAGCCATCTGTACATTTCTAAACTGACCTGAGTCAATTTTGTTTCTAAATGTGTGGGTTATGTTGCAGCTATTGCAGTCCCCCCAGATAACCATGTCACATAATTTGACCTATAGGAGGATACTGAGTAATTTCTGGACACACAATTGCATTCATAAATGGGAACAGAATGTGAAAGCCAGCTCTTTCAGGACATCCTATATTAATACTGAATTTTAGATACATTTATTCCATTTACTATGGTACAAATAATGATCTTTTGACCAGAGTAATGACCTCAGTGGATTTGCTTTAACCCTCACATTTATGTTTTTAAATGTTTCACATGCTACATTATTAGCTGAATAAGTTAGAAAATTCCAGAAGATAAGAGACTTACGTAGAATTAGGAGGGTTCTTATGGAAGGGATAGGAAGTAGGTTCGAAACCTACCACCAGTGTAACCTACCAGTACAACTGTGAATCCTAGGTGAGGTAGAAATGCACTTCCACTGAAACAAAGTATTTCTGACTGCTTTTTCTTGGTTGTGAATCTTAATTTTGAATATAAGATGATAGGTAAGCGCAGCTTTCTTGGATAATCTGAATTCCCAAGTGCCAGGAGTAGGATTTCATTATAAAATTAATAGCTAATCTTATTCTATCTCCTGAAGATTTAATTGCTATTCTTGTTACCCATTCAAAATCAGCTGTACTGTGTGAACAAAATAAAAGACAGTAACACGAACCCCTCTCTGGCTGCACGGTCGCTTATGGCAGTTCCACACAGTAGTTGGCGCCCAATGGGGGGTCCCTGAGACTTGCATGTAAAACTAGTCTAGATGTCTTCTTTTTTGTAAGTTTTATTTTTGTAATTGTGCATGTAAAGCATCACTGAATCAATGGATCTGTTGAAGAACTCAGCTGCTGGAAACCATGCAAAATGTTTTGAATTGCCCTTAAAATATGGAAAATGTTTTCTGAATGCTTTATATTCTTTCTGCTGTAAATTAAAAATGAAGAAAATTTCCCCATACTATGTGTGTTTTACTTTAACTTGACCTCAGTAGAGAAATCCACAATAATGAGCATGTTTCAAGCCATATAAAATAATTTCAAGTATTTCCTTCTAATCTAGATACAGTGTTTTGACATTGAACGTTACATTGTTCCAGTAAGTCCTTGAAAGAAAAAATTTTCTTAGAGCCCCTGTTCTTAACAGCACTTGTTTTTCGACCTTTCTCCCCTGGCACCTCTCAACATATAAATTATTTGTGTAAGGCACTGCAGTTATTTGAAAGGTAATCTAAAAACTTCCGAAGTTTTTTCAAAAGCATTTTCTGGCAGACTACTCCTACCATCCTCCTTTCCGAAGACTCATCCTATCATCACTGTTGATTCCTTTTCACTGCACGGCCTCTCATTTCCGTAACACCCCCTCTGCCTGCTAACACATCTCAGTGTCACTGACAAAGTTTGTTATCTCCTAAATCTGTGAGTCCTCAATGGTTTCTAGACCCCACTCCCTGTTCTCACTGTGCCCAGCCTGCACCCTCCAGTCGGCCTATGCACACCGTTTTTCCATCTCCATTTCCATTTCAACTGTCGTATTTGTTCGTGGTGTTCCTCTCTGGCTATTACCCAGCTTAAATCCACTGCCTCTGAGACATTCTTGTTTATTCTAATCTATATCCACATTACCCTTTTCAAATTATTGTATTTAGAGCTGGAAAATACGGCTTAGTATTTAAGTACTAGCTTTTATTTTTCACTCTTCACCTAAGAGGTCTGCCAATTAATCTATTAGAGTTTTTGTTTCTTAATGTAGGACGAATCCAGACTTGTGCGTTCCTTCATTCAACCGAAAGTCGGGGACCTACATGTGCTAGGGCCGGAAAATACAGAAATGAAGAAAGTACAGTTCCTAATGTCAAGGTGGGCTGGGCAATGACAAATACTTGTGTCACAAGTGAAACGTGAAGAGGGGGAACATATCCCAAGTCCGTGACAAACCTCGATGGAATTCCTATTTCATTTTAACATTCAGGGAAGAAAGTGGTACCCCCGGGTCACCAGGTTAATCTGGGACCTTAAGAAGCAGCAAATAAACTGTCTATAGCCTCACCGGCAGAGAGATGGCCCCACCCACACTGACCCAAACAGTTCCTACCCAGCTCCTAACGCGACGCAGGTTCCCGCCAGAAAGCCCCGCCCAGTCGCCCACTTCCGGCGCGCCCTCCGCGGTCGGCGCGCCCCGCCCACTCCGCCCGGCCCCGCCCAGTGACGTCACTGGCCTGGTGTGGCACTGCCCCGCCCTCCGCTCCCAGCAGTGCAGATCTGTGGACCCTTGTCCGCCGTCCCCGCCAAAATGTGAGTGACGCGACGCTGGGCTTCTTCAGACCCCCGGAGGTGCCGGCCCGCGCAAGGCCCGGCTGCCGCCGGCCGCAGGCCGAGGCCGCGCAGGAACCCGAGGCCTGGGGGTGGGCGGCGGCCCCGGGGAGCGGGCTGCAGACTGGCCGGGCGCGGAAGGGGCGAGCGCGGGAAGGCGAGGGCCTTCCCCGGAGAGCGAGCCGCCTGCCTCGCACTCCGGCGCCTCGCCGCTTCCCCGGGCCCCGCGGTCCCTGAGAGGAGCCGTGACGCCCGCACTCGGCCCGGTCCGCGCTGGGCTCCGGAAGTTGCAAGAGGAAGGACTTCGGCCTGTCTCCAGGCCGCTGCGGGCCGAAGCGCCCCCGGGCTGGCCGGGCCGGCCGCGCCCGGGAAGATAACTTAGGCAGGGGTCTTCACACTCTCCTAAGTGAAAGCGCTCTTGTGCGGCCCTGGAAAACCGCTGTTTCCAGTGGCGAGACTCAAAATGCTAATTGTTAGAGCCGCAAGGACCCTGTCTCCATCCACGCAGGAAGCCCCGGGTTTCCCCTGGTAGCTGGGAACACTGAGCCAATGTTCCTGTGCCAGTAGATCACAGTGGTTAAGATGTAGGTCCGCGGAATTAGACAGACCGTGATAGAATAAACAGAGACTCCACTGCAGCCTACTGAGTTGACTTTATAAACCTCACTTTCCTCTTCTGTAAAATGGGAGGGGTGCGATAGTATCCTCCTCAAAGAGTTATGAATATTAAATAAGAAAATACACAGTAAGGCCTAGCATCAGGGCACGGTCCTTATTGTGTGCCAGACACTAAACTCTGTGGGGGCAACAGTCTAATCTGCTGTATGCCCAGTAGTCACACGTGGTTGTGAAGTGACTCTCTGTTTAATCAGTGAAGCAGTGGCTACTGGACAACCACCTAGCATTTGCTAGGTGCTGTCTTGGATACAGAGAGAAGAATTCTAAGTCCTGGGACCCTGTGATCTATTAAGGGAGGGAAAAATCCATGGTGTACACCTAAAAAAAACAAAGTGATGCCAACCAAGTAATGGAGGCAAAAGTACTTCGGGCCAGAATGATTTAAAATAAATAAATGTGCATGGAGGCAAATAAAGCCTTCGAAGCAGATTTTGAAAGGTGAATACCTTTCTGAAAAAGGAAACACTGCTTCAACTCACCTTCCCACTTACCACCACCCCCCTCCCTGGAACCAAGTTTCCCTGACTCTACTTTTATAAATGGATGTATTTCTCTACATTGGAGAAAGGACATTCTATAATTGTTTATAACTGTGAAGACAGTTCTTGCCACAATGAAGAGATCAGGAGAGTACTGAGTGCATTTAAGCAGATGCATGCCTTATAATAAAGAAAAAAAAGTAGATCCTATCCTAGTATCAGGTACTTCAGTGACAAAAAGTAGATTCTATTATACCTTCACTTTAAACCCTGGTCACTTTGCCACGCAGGACAATCTTGGAAATTGTGGAGGACTTAGAAGAAGTGCTGTGAGGACCTTTGTTCATTACTTTAGGAAGGAGCTTTCTCTTTTTTGTTTTAATTCTGATGTAAGAGCTTTACACTGAGAGTCCTGGAATAGCATCTTTATATTTACTCAGGTGTATTTGGGGTCATAATTTACTCATGCTCCTGCCTTTGCACATTTCAGGTCTACAAGTGCACCCGCAGGTTCAAGTGCTGCCGCTGGCAGTAATCGAAGACTTCAGCAGACACAAAATCAAGTAGATGAGGTATTGCTCTGAAATGCTGGAAACTTGAATTTGAAACAAATATGAGAACACTCTCTGGAAATACTTCTGTTTAGAAAAAGTATCATAAAAGTGTGGATGTAAAGTAAATTTCGACGGTATCATGATTGTAACAGAAATTTGCTCCTGCTGTTCTGGAAGCCCTGATCTAAGCAGAAATCACACTGTCAAGGCTTTTTGCTTATCTTCCTGTGACAAAATCACATGTCTAAAAACCCACACCCTACCCTGAGAACATTTCTCAGAAGCCACTTTATAGAATAAAGTAGTAAAAAAATTTTTAAGTATTAGGTCTCTAGATTGCTCAAGCCAGAACCAGTTCTTCGGATCAGACTTTTTATCAAAATGCTGTGCCTGTAGCTTGACCTATTATTAGTGCGTGGGCTGGAGCAAGCCTCCATAGACTTCATTGCTGATGGTTGCCCACTGACACACAGAAGACAGATGATAGCAAACTGCACCAGCCCAGCCAATCTATGTTTATAGAATTCTTGAGCTAGAGCAGTGGTTCTCAACTTTCCTAATGCCACGGTCCTTTAATACATACAGTTCCTGTGGGTCACGACCCGCAGGTTGAGAACCACTGAGCTAGAGGATTTCAAAGCATCTTTTATTCTGCCCTGTACATGGAGAACTACAATGGAGTATAGTATTTCCATATTTCTAAAAGCTGTCTCTGTGCACCGAAAATCTTGGCCTTCGGCATTTAGCTGCCCTAAAAAGCAGAGTTAAACTTGTGTTAGGGCCAGGCACAGTGGCTTGCACATGTAATCCCAGGACTGTGGGAGACTGAGACAGAAGGATGACTTGAGGTCAGGAGTTGGAGACAAAGTGAGACCCTGTCTCTACAAAAAATAAAAGAATTAGCCTGGGGTCGTGGCACATACCTATAGTCCCAGCTACTTGGCAGGCTGACAGGAGGATTGCTTGAGCCTAGGAGTTTGAAGCTGCAGTGAGCTGTGATCAGCCCATTGCATTCCAGCCTGGGCAACAGCGCAAGATCCCTGTCTCTTAAAAAAAAAAAAAAAGTTATATTAGACACTGTTTTTAAATCATATAGTAATGTTTTGAACTGATGGTTTTGTTTATGAACTTAATTCTGAAATTTTTAGATTTCATAGTAAGAACCCTGTTGTAATTTTTTCCCAGCCGAAAACTTCGGTTTTCTTAGAAAATCAAATTGGATTTTATTTTTTTATTTTCAAAGTAATTCTCAGGAGTATTTCTTTTCTTTTCTTTTTTTTTTTTTTGCAGTTTTTGGCTGGGGCTGGGTTTGAACCCGCCACCTGCGGCACATGAGGCTGGCACCCTACTCCTTTGAGCCACAGGTGCTGCCCAGGAGAATTTCTTAATTGAGGTGAAAGACAGATCACGTACAATGAACCATTTTAAAGTGTACAATTTAGTGGTATTTAGCATATTCACAATGTTGTACAACCACTACGTCCTTACAGTTTCGAAACATTTTTATCATCCCAGAATAACACCCTGTTCCGTTTAGTGATCATTCTCTATTCCCCTGTCTTCCATTCCCTGATAACTCTAATCAGCTTTCTGTGTCTGTGGATTTGCCTATTCTGGGTGTATCGTATAAATGGCATCATACGCTATGTGGCCATTTGCGTCTGGCTTCTTTCCCTTAGCGTGATGTTTTTGACATCCATCCAAGTTGTAGCATCGAGGTATCAGCACCTCCTTCCTTTTTATAGCTGAGTGGTATCCATTTTATGTGTGTACCAGTGGGTAGATCTGTTAATGGATATTTGAGTTGTTCACCTTTCAGCTATTATGAATGATGCTGCTGTAAACATTCCCTTACAGGATTTGGGTGAGATGTATGTTTTTATTTCTCTTGAGTTTACAGCTAGGAGTAGCATTGCTTGATCACGGTAATTCTATGTTTAGCTTTTGGAGGAACTGCCAGAGTGCTTTCCCCAGTGTCTGTAGTATTTTATATTCCCACCAACAGTGGCCAAGGGTTTCTGTTTCTCCACATCCTCGCCAACAATTTTTTTTTGTTGCTGTTGTTGTTATGGTTGTCCTAGCAAGCATGGAGTGCCGTCTCGTTGTGTTTTTGATTTGCATTTCTTTGATGATAAATGATGTTAAGCTTATTGGCCATTTGTATGTCTTCTTTGAAGAAATATCTGTTCAAGTCCTTTGTTCATCTTTGCTCATTTTTTTAATTAGGTTATTTGGCTTTTTGTTGTATTGTAAGAGGATTTTTTTTTTTTTTGA